AAAAATAAATAAATAAATAAATAAATAAATAAATAAATAAATAAATAAATAAAATAAACAAAATAAATAAATACAACCTGCTGTTCATATAGAAGCAGTTGAATGAATGATGTGCAGGATTTGCTGAAGTGGAAGTCACCTGGAGGAATGTGCAGATTTCAGAGAAGCAGGCTAAGGCAAGGTGGCTGTGAAAGGAATCTTGGGAAAAGGGAACAGAGGAGAAAGAAAAAAGGCTCACAGACTGATACGTACCTGTCCTGCCAGACAAAGCCAAAGAGGAGAGAGGACAATAGGACAATAGGACAGTGGCACTACCACACCTGCTATCAACAGCACGGAGGGAGATCCTAATCTCCTCAGGTAGAAACAACACACTGCTCTGTTTTACTTCTGTGATGTCACCTATGCTTTGTGAGATTGTTGCTACAGTCCTTTCTCATTACCAACTGCAATAGAATCTGTTAGGACCTTCAGTTCCTTGGACAGCATCTCATGGTTAAAAAAAAAAAAAAATCATCAACTGGCTGGGTATGGTGGTGCATACCTTTAATCCCAGCAGCACTCAGGAGGCAAAGGCAGGTGGATATCTATGAGACAGAGGTCTATATAGTGAGTTCCAGGCCAGCTGGGGCTACAGGAAGACCCTGTCTCAAAAAACCAAACAAAATCAGCTATAAAATAAATACATATGCTACTCGGGAGGCAGAAGCAGGCAGATCTCTGTGAGTTCAAGGCCAGCCTGGTCTACATAGTGAGTTTCTGGCCAGCTGGGGCTACAGAGACCCTGCCTCAAAAAGACATATATATATATACACACATAGACACAGGTCCTTTCAGGTAGATTTGCAGCCTGGATGGATAGGTATGCACATCTGATGTTACTCAACACCTTCCTCTAAGTTGTCTCCATCTGCTGGGGCCTAAGTACACCTTTGATATACAGGGACTCCTGACCAGGAATAGGACAACAGTTCCTAGCTTCCTGCAATAGCAGAATAAGCTACTAAGCCCTCTGTGGCCACAGTGCTACTACAAAAGGTTCATGTAGCCACAGGAACCATTAAGACATTCTTTACACACTGGTCAATAAAAGGTCAACTGCTGGGTTGAAGCCTCCTTGTTATCTTACAATTCAAAGGCAGGCCCTTCATGTCTACAATACTCAGGAAACTCTTGAGGGAAATCAGACCACGAGAGGAGAACTATGGACACTATAAGAAAGAGCTGTCCAAAGAAATGGAAGAGATCACTTCTGGCTTAAGATTTGAGGAAAGAAAACAGGAACCACCCCAGCAAGCAGGGGTCAAAGAGCAGTCAGGGTTGATCAGCACAGGAACCAGGAAGAGGCAATCCTGTGGCTTTGTGGTGAGGATGAGAAGCCTTCACAAACATGAAGCCACCAAAAAGACCCAGGACAACGAAGGAGAGGAAGAGGGGATGGGGACAGAAGATTGGAGAAATAGGAAGGAGCAAAAAGGAGGTAAGAGGAGGTAAACAGGGTACAAGAAAGGGCATCTGCCATAAATGACTGCCTCCTGGCTCCTGCCCAATCCGCTCTTCAATTCACAGCCTTGAAGTACAGGCAGTCTAGCTATCTCATGGTCCACAACAAAGTCCTCATGACACTCTGCTCAGGATGGTACTTTCCATATCACTCACTGTGACATTGAGCCATTGGTGGTATTTCTCAATACCATAGGATCTCTTTAAAGGAAATGATTTCCGTATTGCACAGAGAGGTTCTCATAGCTGTAAATGGAGCAGCTGGGAGTCAAGTAAGACACACAGAGCATGGAGCCTAAGACCCGTGCTATGGTTTGAATCTGAAGTTCCCCTGCAGTCACATGTTTTGAATCTTGTTCCCTAGGCAGTGGTGCTATTTTGGAAGGCTATGGAACCTTTAAAAGGTGAGTAGGTCACTAGGTGTAGTCCTATGAAGGTAAGACCCAGCCCTTGTTTCTCCCTGGCTCCCTGCTTCCTATCTGTCATGATATAAATGATCTCTGACACATTTCCACTGCCACAGTGATACTACAAAAGGTAGCACACCTCCCACCCCCAACCTAATGGAACTAGGCTGCTCCATTCAAGCCTTTTCTACCATGATGGACTGATGCTTTCTGAAACCATGAGCCAAAACAAACCTTTCCTTCCGTAAGTTGTAACACAAAAGTAAGTAAGACAGAAGAGGAGCACCAGAGAGCTGTGACTAAACCGGGCCATGTGGCTCTCAGGTCTTTGGAAAAGATTTGTGGGAGGAATCTGGAAGACTCTGGAGATGCTATACCAGAGCTCGATGAGTGATTATGGTGGAAGTTTGGAAAATCAGAATTTCTATAGGATTATAGACAGTAAAGACTGCTCATCAAGTTTCAGATGGGAAGAAGGATACTATTAGGAATTAGATGAGAGCTCATTTATGTTACATCCTGGCAAAGAATTTTATGTATGTTTTCCCCACATCCAAAAACTTTCAATGAGGCTAACTAAAAAGTAATGGTCTAATTAATTTGGAGGAGAAAATGTTAAGATAGTATGGACTTCAGGTTGTGGTATGGTTATTGTTGGATACTTTTTAGCCTGGTTTACTGTGAGACTTGGGAATAAAAAGATGTGAAAAATGCAGTTTGGACAAAAAGGAGCTTATTTAAAGTTGTACACAAAGTTAAAAAGATTAGCAGTGTTAAAGAAAAATCAACCAGTTTGGACTGTAACAATAGGAAAGGGGTCTTTAGAACATTTCAAGAATTGGAGCGACCACCCATCAAAACCTCCCGGATCCTAGACTGTATATAGATACATACATATGGATATATGACATGAAAGTAAAAACAAAACTGTTTCAGAGAAAAAAGATGAGAGAAAGGGATGAGAAAGGGAGGTATGGGAGAGAAAGAGCTTAAACTATATTATATACCTGAATTAAAAATCAGTACTGTGGGGCTGGGGAGATGGCTCAGTGGTTAACTGCACTGACTGCTCTTTCAAGAAGACCTGGGTTCAACTTCCACCACCCACATGGCAGCTAACAACAGTCCAGCACTCCAGTTCCAGGGGAACCAACACCCTCTTCTGACATGCATGGGCATTGCACGACATGGGTACACTTACACACGTGCAGGCATTATACTCATACACATAAAATGAAAATAAAGTCAGTACCATGTACAATGAAAACATACTGTGATGGCTAATCCTGGGTGTCAACTTGACTGGATCTCGGATTAACTGAAATGAGAGATATCTTCTTGATTGGATCATCTGAAGCTGGAAGACACACCCTAAATATGGGTGTTACCTTCTGATGGCAGCCTGTATAAAAGGCCAAGGCAGAGGCGCACGCCTGGCTTCTTGCTGCTTGCCTTCTGTCTTGCTGGTGAGTTCGTCTTGCTGCCGCAGACTGAAGACTAGCTGATCTTTTGGAATTTGTTAGACCTTCAGCACCAGATTGGGACTACTGAGACATCCAGCGCAGTGGATTAAGCGACTACGGATTCTCAGCCTCTCTGGTGTGGTGCAGCCAGTGTTGGACTACTTGAACTCTATCCTGTGAGCGAAGCTGATAAATCTCTATACATATATATTCATTCTACTGGTTCTGTTTCTTTGGAGAACCCTGACTAATACGCATATCAATAAAGAACTGAATTTAAAAAAACAAAAAACAAAAAACAAAACTGAGTCTCAACCCCAAAACTCATTTGAAAGATTTTCCTTAAAAAGAGACAGCTTTATTTGCATAGAGCTGCCTAGTAAAGTGTTTTTCCAGGTTCTGCCACCCTGGTTCTCATGGGTCACTGCAGCCATGGTCAAAGGGGGCCTGCTACTCACACTGGCAGCAGGAACTTGGTGTTATACATGTGATTCTAGTTTTGCAGGCTGCAGTCTTGCAGGGTGCAAGAATTATGGAGTCATGGCTGCTTCCACAAGATTTTTTTTTTCGGGGGGAGGTCTTTTTGAGACAAGGTTTCTTTGTAGCCCCAGCTGACCTGGAACTCGCTATATAGATCAGGCTGGCCTTGAACTCACAGATCCACCTGTCTCTGCCTCTCCAGGGCTGGGATAAAAGGCATGCACCACCACACCCGGCTTCCACCAAGATTTTTAAGAAAAGCTTATAAACTCAGGCAACATATATCAGGGGCCAGATTCCCTGAGAGGTCTATGGATGAAGGCATAAAGGTGAAGTCTAAGTTACAATTGCAGTCTCAGGATGGTGGAGATACGAGGAGCATAACAATGTTGGCTAAGTAAAGTTTTAGGCACTGAGTGGAGCTAGCCCAAGAGAGAGGCTATGTGAGCCACAAACAGCAAGGCCAATAGAGCGCACATCATGCCAACACATGCCTCTGATGCTAGACATGGAGCTACAGGGTTTAATGTTTGCCCTCCTGGCTCTGGCCCTGCTTTGGTCCCATCCCTCCTTTCTATGCCCCCATTCTTCCCTTGTGGAATGGGGATGTTTACTGTGCCATTGTATATTGGATGTATACAGTTCTTTATATTTTCTAGGAGGTAATAGCTAAAAAATTACTTTGGGTCTCAACAGACACTCTGGACCCAGACTTGTGGA